AAAACCAGAAAGGATCATCAGAGGCCCAAGGCAGCGAAGAGATGGGAAGCCTGTTTGGTTGCTATGGGCAGAGCCATATCAGGAAGCACTTCAGTCTCAAATGAGGGTGGCTTAGGGAAAAGGTAACCAAAGATCACGTAGGATCAAAAGTGGGCTGCATGGATTCCACTGTGATAGTGGATGACCTGATGCTTGTCTATCTCCGTGAGGTGGCAGAAAAGGGGACTGGTACAGAGAAGGGCCCAGCAAGAAGTTGGGACAACATCCCCACTATAGAGCAGGTCATGGTAGGGACCCAGACCCTGAGGGAAGAGGATCTGAGGGACTCCTACCTCAGCGCACATCTAGTGGAGGTGGAATAGGAATGCCACAAGGCAGAGACAGACTTTATAAAATGGGTAGAGAGTTTAGACATCTGTAATAGACAGGAGGAGAGCTGACCAGCACCCTGTGACTAAGGGGTTAAATTCACGTAGCTAAGCAAAGGTGTTACCCAGGGGAACGGGCAAACCAATCGAGACAGTGTGTTGAAATTTGAATTGAATATTGATTCCTTACCTGCTTTCTTTTTGTGGGAGAGAAAAAACAGGAGTTGAGAGACACAAAATGATTTAAACCCAGGCAGGAATACCATAACTCCAAAGAATTCAGGGCATGGAAGTGGACTAAATAAAGAGAAGATTGGAAGTAAGTAAAGGGGGAAATGAATTGTGTTGTGTTCAGGGTATCCTTTTCTTTATTTTGGGTTTGGTTTGAACTGCTCTATGTGAATCTATGCTTCCCCTCCCCATTTACCATCTAGCATTATGCCCAGAGATATTTCTCTGTGTTTTAATTTGTTTTCTTTAGCTGCTCTGTAACATCTAGCAACCAAATATGCTTTATCTAGTTTATCTTTTGTTTTGTAAAAAAAAAAATCACTTTAAAAAAAGTGGTTATTTAATTCTTGTCTCCTGGAAGGTGCCCTGGAAAGTCTGTCTGTGTGTATCTGCATGTCTCAGACAGAGGTCAGCTACCAGAGACTGCAGCTTGTTTTTCTCTTTTCAAGCTCTTTTGGTGGCAAAAGAGCTTGGAGTACCCTGGGGGACAGTTCAAGTGTTCACTCCTGTTTTTTTAGGGATAAAAATCACTTGATGGTGGCAGCAGTTCCCCAAAATCCATGTATTGTGATTCTGGGGGGAAGTTTTTTGTAACCGGAGTCTACAGAAGCAAAGTTTTTTTTTTCTTTTTGAGCTTTGCGGGCCCCCATCTTCTGCACTCAGAGTGTCTGAGTGGGGAACAGCTGTGACAACATCATATATCAGAAGGAACATCTACAGGTGCAGTTAGAAGAAATGAGTGATTCTGGAGAGACATCTTTGGGTAGCCCAGGCCCAGAGACCCCCCTGCCCTCAGGGATGAGCTGGGGAGGATATGTGAGATGGGGCATTTACCCTGCACTGGTAAACAAGGGGTTAAACAGCCCTTGGAGAGAGCTGTGGCAGCAGTCAATGATTGGGAAGCTTGAGGCAGACAATCAGATCCAAGCTGGTCTGTATAAAAAGGTGGTTTGCCTGAGGGAGCATAGTATTTCTTCCAACTTTGGAGGGAGAGAGACCAAGTTGCCTATACAGCAAAAAGTGCCTTGGACAAAGCAGTATGGGGGAAGACGGGGAAACATCTGCTTGAAGATTTCCCAGACTGTGGACTGCTAAAGAGGCCAGAGGAGCTACTAGAGCTGCAAGGGGTCAGCTAGGAAAGGAACCGGAAGCAGGTCCACCCTCCTTGTTGATGATGAATGGCCAGTTCAGACTGCAGTGTGATCCTGAGCCAAGGGGCTAGATGAAGTACTGCAGTGGGTCACTGAGGCAAGTGGTGAGCTGAGAGGTAACTTGGTTTTCCTAAACTGGAGAACTCCAGAATGTGGCCAATGCCTCAGAGTAGTACCAAGGGGCAGGAGCCCCACAGTCTGGAACGGATGTGGGTCCC